GCAGAAGCTGGCACTGAGGGGACTGGAGGGAGGACCATGAAAGCAGAGAGCACAACGGGACCGGGAAAGTGGAGGCGAGACCCAGGGCAGCTCACTGCTTTGGGTGCTGGGCTCAGAAGCTCCCCAAATTCCTCTTGTCACCTGAAGGGTGGGATCATATCGAGTTCCAGTAAACCAGTGTGAGTCCAACCTTCCAAGCGGTCTCTCCAAGGGCATTCAAGAAGGGGAAGAAGCATGAGGCTCCATGACTGATGTGGTGGGTGGTTCTGGGCTGTCAGTCTATCAAGGACTCATTGGACTAGAGAGCCCCACACCCATCTGCCTTTTCTGGGGGAAGCCCATTTGCTTCCTGGAAACAATCAGGAGCCCCTGGTGCTTGTGACTGGCTCCCTGGTGCCCTGCTATATGGATATGGTAATTTTTTTTTTTTTAAGTATCCCAGAGCTGGTAGTTTGAAGACAGGTTGCACTAGTTTGCAGAAAGAGCCATGATTCCAAGTACATGGAATAAAATCAGTGCTTTAAGGTGGCATGTTAAAGAGGTATTCCACAGCAAACCCAGCCTCAGAGCATGAAGCCCCATCAGGGCTGCACAACTCCTGGTCCTTGTCTTGCTCCTCAGCTCCACTCCCTAGGAAGCAGAGCGCTGAGTGAGCGATACTGATATTCAGAGACGTGTTCTAAATGTTTAATAACAACCTTTCAAAAGACAAAGCCAAAATAAAAAAAGCAAAAAGATTGACACGTAGCGTTTGCCAATTTCAGTGGTGTAAATACCATCGCTGACTTCAAGCTACTGCTGTAACGTCAGCTCACTCATCTCTCAAAACCCTGACAGCTGGTTCTCTTAAGCTGGTTCAAGCCAGTTCCTTCACACTACCATCCCCTGAGACCATTTCCCCAAGGAGAGAGGGAGCTTACTGGTACCATAGAGAGGGAACCGGGAGGCCCTTCTCACCCAAAGTGGTTCCTTCACTGATTCTTCTGTCACCAGAAATTCCTATGAAACCTTCAATTCCAGTAAAGCTCTGACATAGATGGAGAGGAGGCGGGCTGAGGCACCTACTCCCAGGGCTGTAAGACTCTTTCCCTGGGTGTCTTCTTGAGACGTGGCAGAAGGCTGCTAAGGAAATGGGCATAAGATGGGTGGGTTTTGTGAAGGGAAGATATTAGAAGGGGTCCAGGTGACTGTCAAAGTGAAAGGCCTCAGGATAGAGGCTCTGGCTGGGAGCCTCAAGCACAGCATTCCTAGCCTTCTCTGCCTCCAACTAACCAGTCAGGGAGCAGAACAAGCCTCTTTAAAATAACCTATAGTATTCAAAGAAATGGGAGAAGCATCCATGAAATAAGAGCAAGGTGACAGTTTAAAAGGTGACACTGGAAAATTAATGAGGAGCTTTGAAATTAATGTGATAGAAAACCTTTTTTAAAAATCTAATAGAAAAAGCCAGAAGATAAAGTCAAGAAACTTTCCCAGAAAATTGAGTAAATAGGCAAAATATTAGAAAAGGGGACAAGTACAAGATGGAGAATTAGGGAATGGATCCAAGAGTTTCAACATCTGCTTGTAAATAATCTCAGAAAAAGATAATGGAGAAGTTTGAGGGGAGAAACAATCAACAAAATGACATAGGTGACCAATATGAAAGGAGCTACCAAACGCCTAACACAATAGCTGAAAAAAGACCTACACCAAGGACCATCACTGTCAAGTTTCAGAATGGAGAGAAATAAAAGAATCTAAAAACTTCCAGGATGGAAAGAAAGCAGGTCGCATGAAGAGGATCAGGAATCAGAATGAAATCAGATTTCTTAAGAGCAATTTTGAAAGAAAAAAAGACAAGGAAGCTGTATTTTTAAAATTATGAAGAAAAACAGTCTTTAATGAATACTTGGTTAAACTAAGTGTGAGGGTAGAAAAATATATACAAAAACTAGCTATGCACAATCTTCAGACATGAAAAATCTCAAAAAAGTTTACATCCTGTGAATTCTTTCACTGGAAGCTGTTATTTGAGTTGCTTCCCTAACAAAGTGGAAAGGGGAAGAGCTAGGAACCCAGGAATGGAATGAGTGGTGAAGAGACATCTCAGGTGACAGCTGTGTGGCAGGCATGGAGGGCGGCCCATCCAGATCAGAGCCTGAGGGTGGAGGCCTCCGGGAGGGGTTTCTGTGGTTAATGAATCACACATCTGTGGGGGCTTTTATACTCTGTCTCAAGGTTATAATAAAATAAAATTTAAAAGTCGCTCAGTCATGTTCGACTCTTTGTGACCCCATGAACTGTAGTCCGTGGAATTCTCCAGGCCAGAATACTGGGGTGGGCAGCCATTCCCTTCTCCAGGGAATCTTCCCTTCTCCAGGGGATCTTCCCAACCCAGGGATCAAACGCAGGTCTCCCGCATTGCAGGCAGATTCTTTACCAGCTGAACCACAAAGGAAGCCCAAGAACACTGGAGTGGGTAGCCAATCCCTTCTCTGCGGATCTTCCCCACCCAGGAATCAAACCGGGAACTTTTGCATTGCAGGTAGATTCTTCACCAACTGAACTATCAGGGAAACCCGTCTCAAAGTTAGATGAACCATGTTGCAATGTGTTGAGAATAAATAGGAAGGATAGATACCGAGATAAGGTTAGGGAAATTAGTACACTCTTCATGATGTCCTATAGTTTCTCTGAAAAATAAGTTATCTGACAAAATGGAAGGGACAGATATGGGCTTGAGTCACTGGCGAAAGTTTGGAGATTCTGTGTCAGGAATGAAAGGGGCAGTTAACTGGACACAAAAGTGCCCGAGTATCAAGTACCATACACTTGCGGCAGCACCTGTCAGCAGAGCCACGTGAGAGCTGTGTGCCCCATGACGGTGTTGAGATTTATTCACTGATCATTTATTACTACTTTGAAATAACTTCAAACCTATAGAAACTTTTCAAGAACAATGCAAAGAACTTCTATATCCCCTTCCCCCAGATCCTCTGATAAACACTGACCACAATAGTGCAATTCTATTTGTGTTTCTGTCTCTCTTCTGACGTACATATAGATCTGCCTTTTTCCCCTCCTGAGTCATTTGATAAAAACTTGTAGACAGGATGCCGCACGACCCCAAATACTCCAGTTTGTACTTCCCCCAAACAACACCCTCTGCTTGTTACTATCTTGTGTGTGCTCAGTTGCTTAGTTGTGTCTGCCTCTGCAACACAGAGCTATAGCCCAGGCTGTAGCCTGCCAGGCTCCTCTGTCATGGAGTTTTCCAGGCAAGAATGCTGGAGTGGGTTGCCATTTCCTACTCCATGTTACTGTCATTCACCCCTCCAAATTAGGAAATGAAAATTAGTTTAATGCCATCCCTTAGTCCATGGACTTGGATGGATCTCTCCAACCGATCTAGCAATGCCTCATTAGCCTTTCTGGCCCAGGGTCCACGTCTGACTGGCATTTAGCTATCATGCCTCATTAGTTTCCTTCAATCTGAAGCAAGCTGATCTTTCTGTCTATCATGACCCTGATAGTCTTAAAGAGTACTGGCCATCCAGTCTATAGTATGTCCCCCAGGGCAGATCTGTCCTGTATTTCCTCATGTCCACCCTCAGGACATGCATTCTTGGCAAGAATCCCACAGAAATGATAATGTGCTCATCTCAGGGCATCACATCTGGGCATACGTTACTGACCTGGCCCACCAACAGTGATGCTAACCTTGATCACAGGTCAGGCTGGTGCATGCCGTGTTTCTGCATAGTAAACTCATCATCTTTGTCTTTGATATGTATATGGTGGGGAGGTACTCCAAGACTACCCTAATATCCCGTTTCTCTTCAAATGTCCACCCACCTTTGATGACTCCAGCCTTGTTCAACCACAAGGCTGATGGTTGCCAAGTGGAGAAGATCTATTTCCATCACTAATTCTATACATATTAGTAGGCATTCTACTGTAAGGAAGAGTTTTTTTTTCTCCACCATTTATTCATTTATATCATTAGAGATGCACAGATTCTTATTTTAATCCAAAGGTTGTAATCTGTTACCATCACTGTTTATTTTGACGCTCAGATTGTTTAAAATTTAGCCTTCAGGGAGATTCCGATGTCATCTTGACATGTCCCCATTATTTTTGGACTGTTTCCTTAGTTTCTGGCACAAAAAGATATTTTAAACTCATTTTGTATTTTTCCTGTTCTAGCCCTGGGATTGGGTATTAGCTCTGATTCCTTCTAGTGGAGAATGATATTTTAAAACTAAGAAGTGGGCTCTTGATGGCTTCTTGATATCAGGGTATCACTGCCTCTAGGCAATTACCTCTAACCAATAGCATTGACTGTCTATTCCAGAATAATGTCAAAGAATGGAGGCAAATCTGGCACCGTCTTCTTATGCCTGCTTTAATAAGCGATATCCCTGATGCTTTAGCATCACACGTGGCTCTGTCTATTGGTTTGACATAGATATTTTAAAACCATATTAAAGAAGTATCCTTCAATTTCAATTTTATTAGGAGTTTATTATTTTTTTAAAAGCAGGTATGGGTATTGAGCTTTATTAAGTAGATTTTTTTGGCATTCATCTAAATGGCCAAGTTGTTTTTCCTCTTTTGATATATTAAAATGAGTTATAGTATCAAATTTAGCAGTATTAAAACCACATCTCTTTCTCAGTGGTTAGAATAAAGTCTATTTGGTTGGGATGTGCTTTTTAGAATATAATGCTTGATTCAGTGTGTTAATATTTAGGAATTATGTATCCAATATTCATAAGTGAGAAGAGCCTGGTGTTCCCTTTCTTTTTTTTTTTCAGATGAGAAAATAGTATTTTAATAGTAACGGGAACACACAGCAGCTCCTGGGCTGGAGGGTCCAGACAAGAACACTCACTAAGCACAAGCCTGCCAGGTACCAAAGCTGCTTCCCTCACAGCTCTGTTGTGACAAAAGTCAGACACACCTCAGGTCCCCATCAAGGAGGTCCCCCCAGGCCCTGGCTCCTTACACAACGAAGGTCACATGGACACTGCAGGTTTATCATAAGTTGCCAACAGCACTTTATTTTTTCTTTTCAACATCCTGTTCTGCGGCTTCCTTGGCCCTTTTCGCCCGGATGCCAAAGAGCTGGCGTTGGCGCAGGCCATGCGGAGACTGGCAAATGCCTTAATGTTCTTCTCCTCCTCTGTGATGACTCTGGCTTTCTCCTTCTTATAGACGTTCCGTATAGGCATAACAGATCCGGTCAGCTGAGTGGCCAGTTTGAGCTCTTCAGCAGAGCTGTCTCCCTTCTTGGGGGCCGAGGGCTTCCTGGGGAAAAGGATAAACTTGGAACGGTATTCCTTGAGCCGCTGCACATTGGCCTGCAGGGACTTCAGTGCACTTGTTCCGGTGCCTCGGGTCCACCAAGATCCCAATGATCCGGGCCACCTTCTTGTGGATGCCTGCCACCCTTAGCTCCTCCAGGCTGAAGCCCCTGCCGGCGCGAACCTTCGCGTGGTACCTGACCGTCAGGGATCTCACCACCGGCCGGAGAGGACCGGAAGTGCGGCACCGGGCGATGCGGTGCACCTTGGCCTGCCGGGCCTTGCATCTATGGATCTTGCGAGCTGGCTGGTTGAACCATGTGGCCACATGCCGCTGCTAGTCCTTGTGGAAGTGGGGCTTCAGGATCATGCCATTCCGGCTGGGCGCCATGGCTGCGGCCAAAAGGCCTCCTCCGAGGGCTCATGGCCAGGAAAGCCCCTTTCTTTCTTGTCTTGGTTAGATGTCCTGGTGGAGTGGAAACAGGATGCAGGTAGGGAGGAAAGGACAGAGGGCAAGTGAGAGAAAAGCGGGTGGAGGGGGTGCTCCCTGGAAGGCACAGGAGAGAGAAGCACAGAAAGCTGCAGAGAGTTCTAAAGCGGAATTTAAAGAATGGAGCCCTTCCCGGTGGAGTCAAGTCTCACATTTTGCCCAGGGGGTGACTTGCTGAAGAAAAGTTGTAAGTCATGGGGTTTGGAAAGGTCAAGAAACTGTGAGGCAAGGATCTGGACAGACTGCCCACTTGGCTGTCGAAATCTCCCCAAGTGGAGGCCAAGAAACTGGCAGAGTCAGTGTCCAGGCCAGTGGGGTCATGACCTGGAAGCTGGTGAGATTGCAACAGCAGGGAGGGGCAGGGGCCTGGGTTGCTGAGAAGACCCCCAAGGGGAAGGTGACTTCTTTTTCTTTCTAAAAAGGGTGAAATGGCTCAACACACACCATGCTGGAGGAGTACTGTCCTGTCCTCTCCTGGGCTCAGGTGGGGAGGTGAGAGAGGGGAGCTGACGGCCCGCTCTGTGAGACCAGGCATCAGAGCAGGCAGAAGCCAGAACTGTTGCCGAGGGAGGGGTGACATTTCTAATCTCAACGTGAGGATCGATTCAGTTCAATGAGTTAATAGTCTTGCCTGGCACAAAGAAAGCCCAACAGAACCGCTGTTCTTATTATTGTTTGTACTAAGTAATTAAACATCTTCAAGTAGATGCTAAAAGGCTTTTGCAGATAGTGCCCACAAAACGTGATTGAGATGTTCTACTTATAGGCAGAACTGGGTATTTTTCCCCACCGCTACTCCTTCCTCCATTTCCCTTTCTCGTTTCCAGATCCTTCTGGCAGCTGTCAACATCAGCCGGTCCCTAGACTCAAATCCCAGCAGCTTGATGGCAAGTTCCATGGACCTGGGCAATCTTGGGTCTCATCTGGAAAATGGGCAATGATGCCTCCTGAAGTTGGGAGAGGGCACCAGTGCTACAACCACAGGCCACTGAATCTTGCCCTGCTCTGAGCCCAGGAGCACCTCGCACTGCAGGTTTGGTGGTTGCTCAGAGGCTGAGCAGATCCCCAGGCAGAAAGGGGAAGAGAGAGGGCCCGGATTCCTGCAGTGCAGATGGAGGAAAGAGAGGTGGGGCGGGGGGAGGTATCGAGAGCAGGTTTTCCAGTCCAGACAGGTGTTAATCCATCAGGCCTAGGATCCAGGAACGGGATCCAGATGCAGGGAACTCTGTAGCAGGGGAGCACAGAGAGGCAGGGAAGGTAGAGGCCCTTGGCTTGTGGTTCAGTGGGTGGTCTCTGCAGTTCTCCATTTAAGCTGGGAACCAAGAGACCGGCCGCGACCACACGCCTCCACCCCGCCCATTTCCGACCACGCTCCTCATCCCAAAGGCCGGTCCTGGACTCTGTGTGGTCACAGGCCTTTCCCAGGGTCATGGCTAGGGACACCTCTCCCCTGGGTAGGACCCTCACTCCTCAAGGGACAGGACATGCCGGAAACACCAGGATGAACTTGGAGGCTTGTCTTTCTTGCAGAGCTGGGAGGGAGAAGAAAGGCGGTAGTGAGGATGGGACCCCCCTCAGCAGGATGAGCTTCTCCCCAGGGGAGGGCTTCCATCCCGGGCTCTGGCTGCTGAGTAATAGTGATGGTGATATTAATACTCATTCAGTATCTACCGCGTGCCTGAATCAGAGCCACCCTTGACAGATGAGGAAACCGAAACTCAGAAACCTAAAGCACCAGAGCTGGTGAGGTCAGAGCAGGATTTGGATCCCATCTATGGAGCCGGGGCCTGAGCTTCAGTCCCCTCTATGTGCAGAGCATGAGTGTTTGGAGAGGTGAGGCGAGCTCAGCCATCGACCAGGGGTGTGGTCAGGTGGGGGTTACTGAACCTTTCTGGGCCCCAGGTGTCTCTGCTGGAAAATGGGTAGAACGTTACCACCCACAGAGAGGTGTGAAGAAGAACAAATCAAAAAACGCAGTTGTAACAGTCATCTGGGGTCTCCGCAGCCCCGGAGGTCTCCAAGAATCAGTGACAGACCCCCACAGCAGGCTCTAAGGAGTCCAGGGCCCTCCCCAGGATGTCTGCAGATCACCCAGTGGGGTGAGACTGGGAGCACCTAGGTTCAGGGCCCCTCCGCCTCTGAGTTTCTGTGTGTGGCACCCTGTGACAGCCCAGGCAATCTGTCCCTTCCTCTCCATCAAAAGCCAGCTCTCCCACACCCAGAGCCAGAGGTCTTCACTGCACAGTGGACTGGGAGGACAGAGAAGCAAAGAACTCCTAAATGCACACTGCACCCTCCAGCTCTTCAAATGCTCTTCAGTCACAAGACTCCCCGTCTGCCTCTCCCTGCAGCGTCCCAGAGTCCCAGGGTCAGCTTCTCCCGGGCTCTGCCCCTCTGTTCCGTCCCCCCACCTTCCCCTCCCTATGTGCCCTCTCAGGTTTTCTTCCTCTGTCAGGCAGCCCAACTTCCCCATCCCCTCCTGCCTGACTCCTTCTAGACCATTCTCTGCACATCCAAGCCAGCCAGGTGCTCACAGAGCAAAATGCCCTTCCTCTAGTGTAGCCGCCTTTCTTAGAGAGCAGCCTAGGCCACCTAAGCCAGGGAGGGCCACAGTGAAGGGGTTTGCTTTCCCATCACCAACATCCTTCCCTGCTGGTGACCCACCCTTCAGGGGTGTTTGTTCCAGTTGGTGTATTATTGCATTGTTCTCTGTTAAGACCACTTGGAAATAAGGTGAGCTGGCGCTAGTGGTAAAGAACTTGCCTGCCAATGCTGGAGACAGAAGAGACATGGGTTCAGTCCCTGGGTCGGGAAGATCCCCTGGAGGAGGGCGTGGTAACCCACACCAGTATTCTTGCCTGCAGAATCCCATGGACAGAGGAACATGGAGGGCTATAGTCAATAAAGTCGCAAAGAGTCGGACACAGCTGCAGCGACTTGGCACACAGCACAGAGTTAAGGGCTCTATGTAAACGTGGGGAGGTGAGTAACTATCAAGAAAACAGGACGACCACTGAGTTCAACCCCTTACTGTGTGGCCTCAGGAAGATCTTACCTCAAGACTTTCCATTCACCTGTGACAGGAGAAGGGGGCAGGGCAGGACAAGGTGGCCCGGGAGGGCGTTTTGGCTGCTCCCCGCTTCCTGGAGAAGCCCTGGGAGGCTGGACACCCTCTTGATCCTCAGCCCAGGCCCCGGGCTAACCTCCGTGGCACATGCAGCTGGCAGCCCCTGCCCCCGATCGCCAGGCCAAGGAGGCAGCCCTCTGCAAGGAGGAGCTGCAGGTAGAGGAGCTGGACGCTCCTTAGATGGAGGGCTGTGGCTAGAGCTGCGGTTTGCGCTGCGCACGAGGAAGGCCAAGCAGGGAGAAGTGGGTCCTGCTTCCTGACTCAACCACCGACTGTTACTTTGAACAAAAAGCTTCCTCTCTCTGACTCTTGATTTCTCATCTGATAAGGAGCGCCTGGCTTCTCAGGAGGGCCCGACCCCGCCAGCACGGATCCCAAGGCCCTGGGCCCGCGGAGCCCTTGCAGGAGGAGGCCACCCTTGCGGGCTGAGATTGGGGAACACCCCAGCTATAAGAAGAGCTGCCTGTGGAGGCAGGAGAGACACAAGAAAGAAAACTTTAAAGACTTAGCCGGCCTCCAGACTCCACCCTAACATACAGAAATCAACACAGAAAAGGAAGCGGCATGTTACAGCCCCAGGAGCCTAAAGCTCTAAGCACGGGAAACGTTGCCTCAGCACCCTGATCCCTCAGTACTCACTTGACCTACTTTGTGCCAGGCAAGGTCCTACCACCAATCCCAGTCACATCACCCTGACCACATCCTCGCCAGCTTCCTCATGGTGCTTCCATCAGACCCAACCACCACCAGGACCCCTCTGCCAAGGACTCCATGTCAGACCACCAGGACACCTGATTTTGCCCTGTCAACCTTGGGTTTGAGTGAATGAAGGAATGTTTTCCACAACGATTAGTTACTGGGTGCCAGGCTCCGAGTTATGCCCCGTGTGGTGGGCATCATGATGGCCCAGCTGGGTTCCCTTTGGTGAGGACTTGTTGCCCAGGTTCCCAAGGGGGCTGGCCAGCCATCTGGCCCTTCAGGCATGGCCTCAGCTCCAGGGATCCGCCTCTCCCAAGAGCTGATGTTCCCAGGGCTGCACAGATTCATGCCAGATGCATTCGAGAGTATAAAGGACCCTTTGGAATGACTCTGGAGAGCAGCTCTGGTTCCAGAACCCCCACAGGGCTGGCTGAGGCTGCTTGGCTTCCCTCTGCCCAGTCCTGCTTGCTTGCCCCCTTGACCCCTTGGGGTTAATCCCAAGGCCCCTCCCTAAGAAACGTCCTGCTTGCTGACTGTCAGAGCCTGCTTCCGGGGAACCCGGCCAGTGACGCTGAGGAGAGATGTGACCCTTGCTCTAAAGAGAGCTCCATCTAGTCGGGAATAGAAACAACAACAGCAGTAACCACACAGAGCTTCCTATGGGCCAGGCACTGTGCTGTGCATTTTATCTCCACCGTCTCTGTATTAGCCAGGCCTCTCTCGGTTGAACGACAAACAAATTCAGCTGAAGCAGCTTTACGTAAAACAGGGGATGTATTGGCTCACATGACTGAAAAGTCCGGTAAACCTCTTGCTTCAGCCCCTGTTGGATGCGAGTGTGGCGCTGGCGCCAAGAGTGCGCGTTTGTGGCCCCGTTTCTAGTGTTGGCTTCGGTCTCAGGCTCAGTCTCTCCTCTGGGCCTGTATTAGTTTCCTGTGGCTGCTGTAACAAATCACCACAAACTTGGGTGGCTTAATACACGGAAATGCATTCTCCCACAGCTGTGGAGGCCAGAATTCTG